ATTTAATTTTAATAACGAAATAATTTATTTTTGTTTAATATTATAAATTTTATAAAAATAATAATTAAGTATTTCGTTAGAATTCAATGATTATCCTAATTATATTTTAGATTTTTTATATTTAAAATGAAATGTTTAGCATGTATTTGATTATGTTTATCTACATTTAGTTACACAAATTCAGATATGGAGATTTAATAAGTTGTACTTACGCACAATCTACTTGCAATATTGAGTTTTAAATAATATACATTAATAAACAATATTTTACGCATAAAAAGTGGTTTTTAAGAGTTTTTGTCAAATACTTCATAATATAGTATAGATATAATATTAAAATAAAAAATAATATGATTTTTTATAAGATAAAAGATAAAAAAAAAAAAAAGTGAATTTTTTTTCAACTGGACTAACAATTTTTGTAATGTAAAAGGACCAAATACATAATTTACTCTATTATAAAAAATCAACAATAATATTAAGAATAAACTACAAACTTGGTCCCTATGGTTTATCAAAACTAACAATTTTCGTCCCTAAAAATTTGATATTACAAGATACCCATCATGGTCAGTCGAAACATTCAAATTTGGTCTCTATCTCTAACGATCGTTAGAAAATTTTGTTAAACAGGCGACATTTTCGTCCTTTTATCGTTTTTTTGTCTTTTATCTGATCAAAAATCGCAGAGATGAAAATCATAAATTCAATTTTGATTGGGTAAAAAACAAAAAATCATAAAAAAAGGAAAATGAATCCTACTTACCTCTTGAAATTATCAGAACAAACAAGGACCAAATTTATAGTTTACTCTTAATATTACTGAAATTTTTTGTAATATATTCTTGCAAATATGAGAAGTTTATGAATGATATTTTTATTATTTTTAAAAAGATACAAAAAAATTTAATTCGATTTTTTCTATTTGTATGTTTGCAACCGTCGGAATACATCTTTGTAATTGATCTTAGTTTATATCTATTTTTGTATTATAAAGAAACATTTTATATGTTTTCTTTTTAAGTATATAATATTTTTATACAACAAATAAATTCACACATTCTTCTCACTTTTGATAAGGTTTGAACTCCTGACCTTCCAGGAGGCTAAAGACTCACATACCGCTAAGTCAAAAACCCTTTAGTATAGCATTCTACTTTTATTAATTTGAGAAAGAATCGTGCGAGAAGGAGAGTTAATTTGAGAATCATTCTACTTTTATTAATTTTTCTACTTTTATTAATTTGTGAAGAACAAATGTTAGAGAAAATGAACCAACCTGTTTAATAAATGGGTTGAACCCGAATCCAACCCGATCCATTGCCACCCCTACTCTTTACTTCTCGAGCTCCCTTCCTCCCATCTATGCTAAGTACAGGCCCCCACCCCTTGCCTACTACCATAATCCTGTGTCTCCAACAACTCCAATCAAAAGTCAAAAGACTCCCCTACCCGAATCATGTAAACAATATTCTTCCAAAAACTGCAAAACCTTTTGTATATAATAAAATTTGGTCAAAAAAGAGTGGTTGTTATGGACTTGAATGCACGGCCTGCTACATAGGTCCACCCCAGGATCGATCATGCTTATGAATGTTAATTGTAGGACACAATTACCGGTCTTTATCAAGCTCATAATGCCGACTTTTGATTTGTTGTCATATTTAAAAAAGAGTAAATTACGGATTTATCCGTATGATTTACATTTTTTATTCCCAGTGTTCTCAAAATCAAAATAAATAAGGATTCGAAGACTCTTGGTTGACATTTTCATATGCGTCAAGTCCTTCCCTCTAACGAAAAACAAGAAAATTCCGTTAGTTCAGTTAAATTAAAGGGTAATTTAGTCTTTTTACTTATTTTTAATTTTTAATTAAAAAAATAAATAACATTTTATATAATCTATATTGCATGGACCAAAAATGTGATAATTATATATACATACAACTTAGGGGCTGTTTGACACTTGCTGAATGGTTTTATGCAAAATCATTAAATGGTTAGAATGATTAAAAGACTCTCATGATATAGTGTAAAATGAAATATAATTGTTTACAATGAAATTAGGGCCTCTTAATGGTTAAAGGAGGTCAGCATACAAAATTATTCAGAGAGTTTTAGAACCATTAAGAAGCAGACTTTTTTTGGCCAAACAAGATCCATTTCTTATGGATTCAAATATTGTCTCTTAATGAAACTATTAGAAGGTAAACAAAAGATCCCTTATCCCCACCATCATCTTCGTGAATGTAACCACCGTCAGGGACAATCTCACTTTGGCCGAACTCTTTCGACATGGATGATCTCACTCCACTCCACTCCTCTCCTCTGAACACAAGGACGGACGATATTTCAACACTTCGGCAACCCATTCTATCTGTTCCTCTCCCTTTGCCGGCAACATATGGGCATTCTCCCGATGTGCTCTTTCAGATCTGTAACAAATGGGCATTCTCCCTATGAGGGCCACTAATCCCAGGGCGACCACTTGAATATCCAATCCGTTACGAGGGCCGACTAATCCCAAGGCGACCACTTGCTTTGCAGATAGCCCAGAGTCACCGCATTTGAACCTCCGTGGCCACAAAAGGATTTTTGTTCTTCATTGGATTTGAACCTAGGACCTCCTGGTACTTTTGATCTTTGGAGCCAAGCTCAAACCAATCAGACACCACTCTTGTGGTTAAAGGGTTCAAATCTCAACAAAAATAAGAAATATGTGACTATGCCGTATATAAATACTAGAGTAAATTATGATTTTTGTCCATGTGGTTTGTTAATAATTTATATTTTCGTCCATATGTCTTGTAATTTATTGTTATTTTCGTTCCTGGACTAAATTTTTACCTTTTAAGTACAACGAACTAAAATCGTAAAGAATTGTAATCCATAGGGACCAAAACAAACAATAAATTGTAAATCATAAGGACACAATAGGGCTGAATTACAAACCATAGGGATGAAAACTGCAATTTCTCAACTACATGGATGAAAATCAAAATTTGTAACAAACCACAGGGATGGAAAATGCAATTTGAATGTTCTAAAATGTGGTGCGTGTTTTCGTTTTATATGTCAAATTTGGGCCCACTTCATTGCCCTCTAATTTCCATCAAAAGCCAAAAGTAATACGCCTCATCACCGACTCTGTGAGAAAAGTCATGTTTTATCAAATATGAGAAAAGTCATGTCTTATCAAATATGAGAAAAGTCTAAGAGTTTTAGGGGCCGTTTACCAAACGTTTATCTGGGTAAGCGCTTACCAAGTAACATTACCTTACCGGATGAATATGGTAAGGACCAATAATCTTACCCGATAAGAGCAAGACAAGGACCAAGAGTCTTACCCGGTAAGTGAAGGCGACGACACTTACCACGGTAAGCGCTTACCGGATAAATTGTTGCATACAATGTCGTTTTAGTAGACTAAAATCTTAATCGGTAAGTAAATAATAATGTTAAATTTTACCAGTAAGCACTTACCGAGTAAAATAGACAACAAGTTCTCAATAAAATAGACAAGAAGTTCTCAGTTGCAGGTTTCCCTTGTCCAATTACATATAAAGACTTCAATCATTTTTTCAAGCAAACATATGAACACCACCTGTTGTTTTATAAGCTCAGCAACTTCTTCTCCTTCAGGCTTTCAACAGTGTCCTTAATGCTTACCTCAACCGGAGTAAACTCGACGCCTAGACTTTCCGCTTTTGCCCTCGAGACATCGTAAGGCACTGCCACAACACACTTGCCCTCTTCGTACCTTTTCGGAATTTGAAAAAATATATAAATAAATAATCCTGATTTCGAGTTGCACATCACCACCATGAACAAGAAATTGAGTTTCCAAGAAGATACATTTAACTTTCTTGGTAACGAAAAGATTATCATATCGAAAAGAAGAAAAAGTAACATGTACGTATCATGTTATCTTGTTGACATGCAAGATAATAAACGAACATAGTTCAAACCCCGGGAGGATTTGAGAAGATCTGCCTGACCCAATGGAATTTTTTCAGGGGTCTTAAAGGGTGCGTCTGGTACACTTGACAGGATAACATAACATAGAAATCAATATTCCATGAGTGGAACATGCTTGTTCCACCCCACTCCTAACCCATGGAACAAGGTGGAACATACCTATATTTTACCAATATAACCTTCAAATAAAACTTAGTTCTCTTCTAAAATATCATATATGCATGTGTACATGAACTTTTTATTTTGGTGTCATTTAATTGTCTTGATGAAAACTTTCTCATGATATATTTTATTAAAATTTAATAAATTATATAAAATAATCAAAATATATAAACAACTCATTAGGGGTGCATTGATCATGATATATTTTTTATTAGGTCCCGTATGGATAAATTTGTCTGTCTGTCTGGATAAATGGGTGTTGTTTATTTTTTTTATCTGAATCAACAGTCTGAATAACATAAATGACTGATTTACCCCCCAATATTAATTATTTGATCATTAAAACAAAAAAAAAATCATAAAGAGGCCGACGATGGGGTGGCTCATCTGGGAAGAAGACGGTGCTTTAAATAAGGGGTAGGGGTGTTATTTTTGTAGCTGAATGGGACAACACACCATTTCTATCTGTGCGATTAAGCCGTAAGTAAACAACCCAAATGAGCTGTACGAATAAGTCAGATAGACCAATAAGCCTAGTTATATATATATATATATATATATATATAGAGAGAGACTTGGGATCATGTGAGACCAGCCTGTTTTCGTGAGACCCGTGAGACCAGCATTTTACACTTGAAACTTCACAGCAAAAATGCTGTGAAGGTGACTTTTTAAAACCTTCACAGTGTTTTTGCTGTGAATGTTCGACTTTTTAAAACCTTCACAGTGTTTTTGTTGTGAAGTTTACGTGTAAAAAC